AAACTCATTCTTATGTATGCTAACCTGTTTAAAATCCAGGGATAGTGGTGGGCCTTTGTCATCCCAGCAGCGATGGGCAGATCACTGAAGCTCACTTGCCAGCCAGTGAAACCTACGTGGTGAGGTCCAGACCAGAGAAAGGCCCTGTAATTCAGCAGTCAAGAAGCTAAGACAGGAGAATCACAAGTTGAAGGGTAGTTTAGTCTTCAAAGTAAAATGTTTTCTCAAAAACTCGCCGGATCCTCAGCTGGTCTTGTCTCCTCAGACTGGAGGCCTCTGAGTCCTCATCCAGAATGAATCTCAGCTGAACTGTGTTGCTCCAAAGCCTGAATGCTTAACCAGCCAAAATCCTCCCCTTCTTTTTATTATTAGACCCATTCCTCACCATCAGGGAATCTCCGGGTGCCCCCTCCCAAGCCCTCGGGGCCCTCACACCTCCTGCAGGCACCAACCTGCCCACAGTTGCATCAGTCTGGCTTTGCCCTTTGGCTGAACGTCTCTCCTTTTTCTCTGACACAAAGACAATGGTCTTTTGTCCAACTAGGGCCTTCTGCCATTTTTGTTTGGGTTATTTCCCAGGTTGTCTTTAATTCTTTATGTAGTCCAGAACGAACTTGATCTCAGGATCTCCTGTGTCTGCCTCCACAGTCCTGAGATGACAGACACACACCAGGTCCAGTGGGGTGCTGGTTAGAAGGCTCCATAAAAGTCCTGAGCCTCCTCCCTCTCCCCCAGCCCTGTAGTTAGCACTGTGCATGTGGCATCTGGTCAGCAGTAACTGCTCCTCTCTGCTCCCACTCAGGGCCAGAAGGGTCCTTCTGCAGAGCCACCCACTCCCCCTTAAAAACTTAAAAATTGGGGGCTGGAGAGATGGCTCAGAGGTTAAGAGCACTGACTGCTCTTCCAGAGGTCCTGAGTTCAATTCCCAGCAACCACATGGTGGCTCAACAACCATCTATAGTGAGATCTAGTGCCCTCTTCTGGCCTGCAGGCATACATGTACATGCTGTATACATAATAAACAAATAAATCTAAAAAAAAAAATAAACCAAATAAACAAATAAAATTCTCCCAAATCGAAGTGTCAAATTTACTTTGAAAACCAAAACAGTCATTGGCTGGCCATGCCCACTCCCCCTTCTCCTCCACCTCGTCTCCTGCTTTGCTTATTTAAACTAGTGCACCAATACTGCTTATTCCAAAGAACAAAACCAAGGAAATCTTCTTAAATATTGTGTTTAAAGCATGCTACTGAGCATATGTATGACTGCAGGAATGTGGGGAGAGAAGAATCAAGAGTTCAAAGTCATCCCCAGATGCACAAATCCACCCTAGGCTACATGAGACCCTGTCTCAAAAAAAAAAAAAACCATAAGTGCATAAAAATTGTATAAGCTAGTAACTAACTGCTGAAAGTTGCATTAATGGTACTATTATTAGAAAATTCACAGAACACTCTACGCTATCACACAAATACACAGCAGTCACCAGCTTAGGCACATACTATACCTTTAGCCAAAGTGTTTTAACTTATGCATCATTTGTCCTTTCATCCTAGACTGCAGAAGAGTTTTGTCAGCTATGAAGAGACCACAATGTACAGCCTGGAAACATGCCCAAATCCTTGGTTGAGGACGCACTCAGTGTGGGGCAGGTACCGGTCACAAACACTCACAGGGATGAAACCATGATCACACCCCCACCTACCCTGTCTTTATGTCTGCTCCCACAAGTTTGTTTTCTTTTTAATTTTATGTTTAATTATATCTATCTGCATGTTTATATGTGAGCATGTGTACATGAGTGCAAGTTCCCAAAGAGGCCAGAAAAGAATGCCAGATCCCCTGGAGCTAGAGTTATGGGCGGTTATAAGCCACCTGATGTGGGTGCTGGGAACTGAACCTGGGTACTCTACAAGAGCATTTGCTCTTAGTGAGCCCTCTCTCCAGCCCCTGTTTGCATAAGTTTTTAAGCAGAAAGGCTCTTTTTGGAAACTGTCAAGCAAGGTAGAAGATCTCTCCATGGCCCCAACCCACCTCTTTCTTCACTCTGGTTCATAAATAGCCCTTTCAAGGCTTTCTTTCTTTATATATATATATATATATATATATATATATATATATATATATATATATATATATATATATATATTGTGTGTGTGTGTGTGTGTGTGTGTGTGTGTGTGTGAAAGGTATGTGTTAATTGCTTTTTTTTTTTCTGAAAGAAAGAAAGACAAGTGAGAGGACCAGTCAGACTCTGTAACAGGCTGCTCAGTCTTCTCTCAGAGATCAGGCCTCATTTCAATTTCCTGAGACTGAATAAGCAGTTTCTGAAAGAGTCACAAAGGACAATCAATCTCCAGCACCCCCAATAGCAAGGACAAGGAGGCCTGATACATGCACTGCAGACCTGAGCCACAAACAGCTCAAGGTGATAACCAAAGAAGGACAAGCCTGGGACTCTCCCAAGCCTGCCCCCAAATGGGAAAACCTTAGCCCTGATCAGCCTCTGACTAGCCCTGGCCCATACAGATGTGCTAATATGATTGCCACTTTCTTAAGCCAATCACAGATAAAATGACCTAACTACTCTAAGACCTCCCCTTGGCTATGCTCAAAAGGAGCCCCACACATCCCTCTTGGGGTCTTCACCATCTTGCCTTTGTGTGGGATTGCAGGCCCCGGCATGCTGGAATAATAAATGCTCTTGTTGATTGCATACTTGGATGGTGCCTTTTGTGGGACTGCACCAGGACCCTCACATCAAGAACTCATAGCCAGGGTGACCTTGAACTAGCTAAGAAGCCAAGGATGACTTTGAACTTCTTGTATAAGACCTAGCTGGGCTCATACTGTGCCAAGAAGTGAAGCTTCATAAACACTAGGCTAGAACTCTACCAACCTAGCTACAGCCCCAGCCCTAGGTCATTTTACATTTTCTTGTATGTTGCCTAGAATCGTGTAAACTTGAAGTTCATTTTGCTTTCTGGCTTATTTATTTGTGTGTTTGAGACAGGGTCTCCCGATCACTAGGCTGGCCTCAAACATGCTTTGTAGCCTCAAGACGACCCTGAATTCCTGACCCTCCTCCTTCTCCCCAAGTGCACCTCCACAACCAGCGTGAAATTAGATGTTTTTATCTAACAATGTAACAGTTACTTGTTCTGTTGCTGCAGCAGAGTATCTGAGGGAAACAACCTGAGGAATGGAGGTTTATTCCAGCTCACAGTTCCAGTGTTAGGGAAGGTATGGCAGCTGGGACAGGAAACAGCTGGTCACATTGTGTACACCATCAGGAAGCAGAGAGAGGATTGCTGGTGCTCAGCTCACGGTTTCCTTTTGTTATTCAGTCTGAGCCCGAGCACACAGAATGGTGTTGCCCAAATCCAGTGTGGGTCTTCTCACCTCGGTTAGCCTATTCTTCTTTTTTCTTTTTTTTTTTCTTTCTTTCTTTTTCTTTTTCTTTTTTTTTTTTGGTTTTTGTTCCTTTTTTTTATTTTTTTGGTTTTTACTTATTTGGGTTTTGTTTGTACAGGGTCTCTCTACATAGCTCTGAGTGTCCTGGAACTCACTATGTAGACCAGGCTGGCCTCTGCCTCCCGAGTGCTGGGAATGAAGACATGCATCACTAAACCCAGATAGCCAACTTATTCTAGAATGTCTCTCACAGACATGCCAAAGATTTGTTTTCCTTGTGATTCTACATCCTGCCACCCGAACAGCAGAAATCAATCATCAGAGACAATATTCCTCTTTTTTTTTCATCTTGAGACATGCAGACACATTTCATCATTTAAAGGCTCACAGAGTTCTCTGGTGCAGAAGTTTGCCCTGTTTTTGTTGAACATTCCCCTGGAGATGGACATTTAGTGTGTTCCCTTTGTTATGGGGTAAAGACCCAGAGACCACTTGCACAACCAAAGTTCGAATTGAGAGTCCGTATTAAGCTGGCCTGCAACTGACTGGAGAGAAACACTTCTCACAGAGCAGCCCTGGATGCATATTACAGGGAGTTTTTAAAGACAAAGAACACAGAAAAACTACATCCTGGCTGGCAGTTGCAAGGGGAACCTAGCAAGCAGTTTAACAAGAGCCAGGAACATGCAGTTAGCTGGGGCATTTGACCGGGTGTCTAGAATGGAGTTGGGTGCTTTCCCACGGGACTTTCCAGGGCAGGAGATAGAGACCAAATATGGCTTCAGCTGAGACAAGATGGAGAACTTTTTACCCTGTTACACCTTGTTTGATAAGAAGTTAATGGTGAGTCAGTCCTGGTAGCATAGACCTATCATGCCACTGTCCTAGTTAGCTTTAATTGTCACCTTGGCACAGCATAGAGTCATCCAGGAGGAAAGCCTAAACTGATGAATTGCCCTGATCAGATTGGCTTATCGGTAATTGTCTTGACTGTTAATTGGTATAGGAGAATCCAGCCCACAGCCCCATTCTCGGGGTCTATATAAACAAACAAGCAAACAAAAAACCTAGTTAAACATGAACTTGTGAGCAAGCCAGTAAGAAGCATTCTTCCGTGAGTTCTGCTTCAGGTTCTTACATCGTGCTCCGGTCCTGACTTTCCTCAACAGGACTGTGACCTGGGAGTGTAGGCTGGATAAACCCTCCTTTCTTATGTTGCTTTTGGTCTGAGTGTTTTATCACAGTAGCAGAGGGAGCCAGGACAGCCACCCTCCCTGAAGGCTGTCAGAAATACCCGGAGCTCAATGCCTCCCTGAATTCAAGACATAGTGATGTAGGGAGACCCCTGGGCCAGGATTTTAAAACAGCTAAGCATGCCGGGCAGTGGTGGCACACACCTTTGATCCCAACACTCAGGAGGCAAAGGCAGGTGATTTGCTGTGAGTTTGAGGCCAGCCTGATCTACAGAGTGAGCTACTTTTTTTTTTTTTGAGACAGGGTTTCTCTGTATAGTCCTGGCTGTCCCAGAACTCACTCTGTAGATCAGGCTGGCCTCAAACTCACACACACACACACATACACACACACACACACACACACACACACATTGATGGTGTGTTCAAAATGCTTTTCTATTTGAGCATCGCTGGTCATCTTACCAATCTCAAATAGGACCCAGGGTGAGATTTCACTGCCCTAGAAAAATAGGGGTGACCAGGATTCTCACAACAAAATAACACCTCAAAAGTATAGAAGACCCTGATAGTGGAGGAACTGAAAAACCCCGAGGCCCCTCCGTGAGACCTTTTCTGACAGTTCTTCTCCAGGCAGGGAGTCAACACTGAGGCCCCTTCCGTACCGCCTACCTCAGGCTCCTCAGGCCAGCACTGATCTCCCAATCAGGAATTGTTCGTTATCAGCCAGATGAGGTCAGGATCCACGCTGATGCTATCTTAAGTAGCTATGTAGGACAAAAACAGCCCTCAGAGTTCACTGTACCCATGCCTGTAGAGATGGAAAAATTATACAGCTCAGAGAAGACAAGCAGGTTGCTGAAAGCCACACAGGAATTTAGTGCCAGAGTAAGGACTAGAACTTGAGATCTCTACTCTCCACCCGCCAGAATTCCCTTGTCCCAGTGCTTTGGAGATCAGTAACTGAGAAAAGTTGGAAATACTTGGAGGGAAGTCTCATTTCAACCAGCGATTCTTCATTTTCGGGGCACTAAGAGGAACTCAGTGGCTTGAGGAAGAACTGCCTGCCCCCCCCCCCCCCCCGCCCAGGTAGCAATCATTGATGGATGCTCAGCCTTTAGATGGACAGTCAGTGGGGAATTTATAAAGGAGGGTGCAGTGGTGGCCCTGCCCAGGGTGCCAAGCTAAGCCCACACCAGCCCATGCCACAGGTGTCTTGTGATAGAATAGAGATCTAATCTGAAATCCTCTTGCCAGAGGAAAAAAAATCAGTGAAGAAACGTCACCTAATCAAAGCTCCTGGTCTGAGATCAGCTCACAAGAAACCCCCAAGGATGGGAGACCAGGATAAACGGTACACAAGAAAGTCAGCAGGATCCAGAAAATCGGATATGCCGACTGGACAAGCTAGCTGCCAAGGCAAGCTACCACCAAAAAAGTGAAAAGTTGAAGGCAAAGAGAAAAACAGGACTTGGCTGTAGCTCAGGGGTAGAGCACCTGCCTAGCATGCAGGGTTTAATCCCCAGTATCAGAAAACAGGAAATGACCAAACAACGAACAAAAACCCACAGAGCACAATGAACATGGTAATTTTTCAAATGTAAGAGTTGTAATAAAGTGCAGTGCACAGGTTTGCCTTGAACCAGCTTTATAAAAGGGTATCTGTCATTAAGTTCTAAAGCTTTGGGTGTGAGGGGGTACATGAATGAAGAGAGATCCAAAACCACAGGACAGCAGGCTATTGACACCCCCACCCACCCAGGGTTCTGAAAGAGGAAAGGGGGGGGCGGGGAGGGGGGGTTTGCTGGCTCAACGATTAAGAGCACTGAAAACTCTTCCAGAGGACCCAGGTTCAAATCTCAGCACCCATATGGCAGCTCACAACTGTCTGTAACTACAAGATCTGACACCCTCACATAGACATGCATGCAGGCAAAAACATCAGTGTACATAAAATAAGAATAAATTATTTTGCTGGGTGGTGGTGGTGGCAGCGGCAGCGGCGGCGCACGCCTTGAATCCCAGCACTTGGGAGGCAGAGCCAGGCGGATCTCTGTGAGTTCGAGGCCAGCCTGGTCTACAACCAGGAAAGGCGCAAAGCTACACAGAGAAACCCTGTCTCGAAAAACCATTAAAAAAATAATAATAATAAATTACTTTAAAAAGAAAGAAAGGAAGGAAGGAAGGAAGGAAGAAAGAAAGAAAGGAAGAAAGAAAGAGGAACAGAGTTGATGTTTTTGTCGTCCCACCCAAAGTGCTTCCAGAAGTCTAATCTGGAGGAAATGGTCACACAAACACAGTTTGTGGGCAGTTTACATAAGGCCAGCCTGGACTCTCCAAAATAACCTAGTGTAAAACAGCTGCACACACCTTTAATCCCAGCACTCAGGAGGCAGAGGCAGGTGAATCTCTGTGAGTTCTGACCTGCAGACCTAGTTCCAGAGCAGCCAGGACTATGAAGAGAAACCCTGTCTCAAAAAACAAAAACAAACAAACAAAAAACCAACAGGTGTACATGCACACAAAATATTCCATGTTGGGGGGGGACTAAACAGGTACAGCTAAATATAACACACAGCCTTGGAAATTAAATAAATAAATACATACATACATACATAAATGAATGAATGAATAAATAAATGAATAAATAAAAGTTAAGCCAGGTATAATGGCACACTTGCAGTTCCAGCACTTGGAAGTAAAAGCAGGAGAATCAGGAATTCAGAGGCAGCCTGGGCTACATAGGGAGTTTACAGCCTTGGCTACATGAGACAATGCCCCTCTCAAAAAAGAAAAGGACACTTGTGAGATAAGATATCTAAAATATAGGCTATATATTTGATGTTAAAGTTAATTTCTGTCTGTCAAGGATTAAGAGAAATCTGCTTGAGGTATTCCAGGTAGATGTTTCATGACTTCTGAAATTATCATTGAAATGATTCTAAAAAGAGTGTGTGTGTATGCTGTGTGTGTGTCTATGTGTATGTGCTGTGTGTGCTCTGTGTGTGTGTGTGCTGTGTGTGTTGTGTGTGTGTGCTGTGAGTGTTTGCTTTGCGTGCTGTGTGTATGTGGTGTGTGTGTGTGTGTGTGTGTGTGTGTGTGTGTGTGTGTGTGTGTGTGT